GTGGCGTTCTTGGGAGGGAGGGATGACGGAACACCGCGTTTTGTTTTGTTGCCGTGCGGTGAGCGTGACTTTCTTGGAGTGCTGCCCATGGGTGACGTGGCATTGAGGGTGCCTGGGATAAGTGTGTGTGGATTCCCGCCGAGCAGCTGAGCGTGCCGACGCGTCTCTCCAGCTGCAGATTATTCGATGCGGTATTGTCTGGCTGTGTGGGGTGGTGCCGCACGTGCGGTGGCGGAGCAGGTGCGCTGGAGGAGACAACAGCAAACGGACTGGCGGCAGCGCGTAGGTGCTGCGAAGGGCGGTTGGACCCTTTTGGATCCTGCTGATTGGTTTTTGTGTGGGCGTTGCTCAGTGCGTGCTGATGTGTGACGAATAATTACGCACTCGCCGTGGCTCCTGCTGGTGGCATTCTTTGTGTGTTCCCGGTGCACTGTTCTTCCTCTTCTTTCCGTGTGTCTGTGTGCGTGAGTTGTTGTTTTTGGGAGTGACTGCGGCGGGGATGATGATGCTGCCTACTGTGGATGGGTGACGGTGGTTACTGTTGTACTTCTTTTCTTGGAATGCTTTCTCTTTATTTCTCTATCAATCACTCTCTTACGAAGAAAGAAAAAACGCGAATCGCTACTGTGAAATTGGAAGGCTCTGAAGGACCAACAGCACACACACCGCACACACACACATATTTGTATGCTCTCACGTGTTGCTGCAGTGAAGGCACCCCGCACACACAACCGTCGCCGTGTGACCGGATCCAGCGGAAGGAGGAGGGAAGGAGGAGAGAGTGAGCCGCAGAGGCCCAACATGTCGTGGCGCCTTTTTTACTTTGCGGTGCTGCTCCTCCTCGTCGTGATGATGTGCTGCGGCAGTGGAGTTGCGGAAGATAAGACGGCATCATGTCCGGAATCTTCAAAGGGTAAACGTTTTGTTTGGAGAGATAAGAAGGATGAAGAAACGGTGAGTTCGCTCCGTGCTCCCAGTCTCGTTGAGATGAACGGGAAAGTGTTTGCTTTTGCCGAGGCGGAGGGCACGAAGAATAATGAAGATTTTACTGGGATTGCCTCGGAGCTCCTAAAGTTGAGTGATGAACACCAAAAGCCCTGGAAACAACTCAGGTGAAGACGGAAGTACTGGAGGAATGTCCTTCTGGATAAGAGGGATGCGCCACCCAAGCAGTGGATGAGTCTGGCACCGAAAGCGAGAAGAGAGTAGATGTGGCCCGACCAACAACAGTCGTGAAGGGAAGTGAGATTTACATGCTTGCTGGAATCTACAACCTTGATGATGCCGATAATACTTCGGCTTATTGGGGACTTTTGCTGTCGAGAGGGAACGTCAGTGTTGATGAGGAGAGTAAACGAATTTATTGGAATGATGTTGACGCTCTCCAGAGCATTTCTAAAATGCAACAACAAGAATCTTTGACAGATTTGATTGGCGGAGGTGGATCGGGCGTTAAGATGAGGGACGGTACGATTGTGTTCCCAGTGGAGGGCATTAAGTCCAATGGCGCAGCTGGAGGAACAAACACCGTTTCGCTGGTCATATACTCCTTGGGCAATGAGGGTTGGAAGCTGTCGAAGGATGTTTCTGCCGGTGGCTGCAGTGATCCCTCCGTTGTAGAGTGGGAGAAGGACAAACTCATGATGATGACTGCGTGTGATGATGGCCGCCGCAGGGTGTACGAGTCCGGTGACAAGGGGGAGTCGTGGACGGAGGCACTCGGGACACTCTCGCGCGTGTGGGGCAACAAACACACGGGACCTGAGAAGGGCGTTGGGAGCGGGTTTATCACAGCGACTGTTGGAGATGATAGTAAAAAAGTGATGCTCGTCACTCTGCCGGTGTATTCCGAGAACGGAGAAGGAAAAGGTCATGAAAAGAATGAAAACGGTAAACTCCATCTCTGGCTGACGGACAACACGCACATTGTTGATATTGGGCCGGTATCCGAGAAGGATGATGACGTTGCCGCCAGCTCCCTGTTGTAAAAAATTGCTGGAGGTAAAGATAAGAATGATGAGTTGATTGCACTGTACGAGAAGAAGAGCGATGATAAAGATACAGCATCACTCGGTATGGTCTCCGTGCTTTTGACTGCGCAGCTGCAGCGGGTGAAGGAGGTGCTGACGACATGGAATGAAGTGGACGACTTTGTCTCCAAGCTGTGCCCTTCTGAGAATGCTAAGGAGGACACCTCATCTGGCACTGCCTGCAGTGCTGATATTAAGATCACGGATGGGCTGGTCGGCTTTTTGTCCGGCAACTTCTCTAATAAGACATGGAGGGACGAGTACCTCGGGGTGAACGCCACAGTAAAGGAGAATGGTGGCGGTGCAGCAGCGGCCACAGGGACTTCGGATAAGGGCGTGAAGTTCCAGGGAGCGTGGGCGGAGTGGCCTGTTGGCGAGCAGGGGGAGAATCAGCTGTACCACTTTGCGAACTACAACTTCACTCTTGTGGCGACGGTGTCCATCGACGGTAAGCCGAAGGAAGATAATCCTATTCCTGTGATGGGTGTAAAGGTGAATGACGATAATAATCCAGTACTTCTGGGACTCTCGTACGAGAAGGAAAAGAAGAAGTGGCGGATAGTGTTCTGCGGTGACGGACAGAACAAGGAGCTCAGCAGCGATTGGGAGGAGACAAAGAAGAAAGACCACGTGGTAATTTTGTTACGGAACGGCACCCAAGGCTCTGCGTACGTCGATGGTCAGCCTGTATTGGGAGATGCACAATGTGATTTGATAAATGAGAAAGATAAAAAGATTTCCCACTTCTACATTGGAGGGGATGGAAGCAGTGCAGGCGGCGCAGGGATCGAAGAAGACGTGTCTGTGACCTTGTCGAATGTCCTGCTGTACAACCGCCCGTTGAGCTCTGAAGAGATTGGCGCCATCGACCCGAATAAAGACTCCACTCCATCTTTGGAAAAGGAGGCGGCGAAACCTTCAACAGTTTCTTCTGCTTCCATTATGCCTCCCGCTCCTCCGGTGACCCCGAATGCTCAGAAAGCCGGAAATCCGTCTACTCCTGCCGGAACAAAGCTGACAGAACAGGGACAGTCGATGGGGAGCAGTAAAGGTGCGGGCAGTGGCGGTGCATCCGCATCAGCGGTGTCCACTGTCAGTACTCCCTCAGCAGAAGAGGAGTCCGTGGTGCAGGTGACGTCAGGAACATCTCCCGACGGAACTCAAACTGTGGGTGGCGGTTCTACTGCTGATGGCGAGCCAACGATGGAGACAAGAGAAGGAGGAAAGGACGGGCAGGAGGAAGAGGTTAATACGCAGGACAGGGAAGTGAATGCCACAGCGCTCAGCAGCAGCCTCGGAAATGTGCCCCAGGGGAATAACAGCGATGCCGGCACTGTAAGTGAGAGCGGAATGGTGCCATCGCTGTTTCTTCTGCTGTTGGGACTGTGGGGACTTGCGGCTCTGTGAGGAGTGACTGGCTGCCGCGTGGAACACTTGCGCCCTCCCCTGCACCGACACACACACCTGTTAATGAATTTATTTTCACAAATAACTTTTATTTGCTTTTCTCCCTGTTTGCTTTGTTGTGCGTTTTTAAGTTTTGTTGTGTTGCGCGACTCTATGTGTGTGTCTTTTTTCAAAATTCTTTTTTTTTAAATCCCTTCCTTCTTTCTTTTTTGCTTTCGGGGCAATCACTATGGACGTTTTTCTTTTCTACTCTTCCCTCTTTAATTGTTTGTTGCTGCACTCTTCCTGCGAGGGGTGCCGTGTGTTTCCGCCCAACTGCTCCACTCGCACAACCACCGACACGCTCATGACGACGGCCCTGTGCGCCTCGCCTGCTGCACGCATGAGGAGGGGCCGCGACGAACGGCGCGCTGAGGGAGCCGTGACGTGTGGGCGTGCGACGAGGGCCTGTGGGGCGGAGCACACATTTCTTTCCCTCTTGTTTTGTTTTCTTTGCGGCCAGGGCTGGCAGACACCCGCAGCGCCACACACACACACAGCCACACCCTGCCGCCGTGTTTTTCTTTAAAGTAATTTTTTTTTTGCTTCTCGTGTTTATTTCTCTCGCCGGCAGTCCCTTCGGTGTCGGCCTCGTGAGCATTTCTTTTCCCCTCCGATGATTTTTTCTTTTGCTGCGCTCACTCTCCCGATGGAGAGACGCGACTCCCGTCATGTCTGCGTGCTTCTCTCAGTCCCCACACACACGAGTGACTGTGCTCTGCGGGCCGCACTCGCACGCCGATGAGAGGGCTGAGGGGAGCAGCAACACGCAGATGACCGCATGAAATATAAACGATGTGCGGACACGCGGAGGGTCGGACGGTTGAAAGACATTTAAATATCTTTTAATTTTCTTTTGCGGGCAAAATAAATGCGGACAGTTTGGTGTGGCCACACGGCAGCCGGCTGCTTTTTAAATTTGTGTGGAACAGTAATGGACGATTTCTTTTTTTTATTTATAATTATTTTGTGTGATGGGGTTTATTTAAGACGAAGGGGAAAGATTTTTTTTTTTTTGGTTTTAAATAAATCATGTTTGAATTGCCATTGCTTGGGCTGCAGTGCAGTCATGAGTTTGAGCGGTCTTGTTGTTGTTGTTTCCGCCACGCATCTCCGCTGTACATTTTTGTGCGTCTCTCCACATGCTCTGGTCCCTTTTTAATTTTCTTTGCTTTATGTTTCTGCAGGCACACACAACCACACAACCACAAGATGCACATTGCGGTGGATATGAATGCTTCTTTTGCGGTGCATGCTGGCAGTTGCGTGTGGCGGCTGTTGTCTTCTTCCGTGTGCGTGACGGCGACAGGAGACGATAATAGTGATAACAGCCGTCCTCCCAGCCCTGAGCTAGGGAAACGGGATCCCACAAAAATATGCCTGGTGCATTACAGCCATATGGTGGGGAGACCGGTGGGCCACAG